TTGTTGTTGAGAAGATATTCTCTCTTCCCTTCTATATGAGGTGCTCAGAAAACCTCTCTTGTAGGTGATTGAGCAGAAGGTGTTACAGTTTAAATACTGATCACTCCTTGTAGTTTTGTAGTGAATACTCCTCTCTATTGTACCGTTTTCATGAAGTCTCAAACTGCTGCTTCTCTTAACATTCTATTTGATGTGGATTTTTGAAATATTGAAGTCGTTTCGTTACTTATTGAACATTTCCACAGATGATGAAGTTATGATTGGCATACATTAAATGTTGGATGGTTTCATTGATTGTAGGTTTTAGGGTAATATTTTCTAAATCTGAAATCCTATTTAATCTGAAGTTAATCTAAACATAAGTATAGTAAATGGATACTGTTACTCAAGTTAAAATTAGAACATGATGAGAAATATTTATCTATTTATAAATGAGGATCATTTTAGGTCATTGAACAGATCGCTACTTTCATTGTATGAATTTTTATCGTGGTTTGGATATACTTATCTATATATATTCACTTTTAAAGGAAAAATTCTGCATAATTTTACAGTTTTATAGCTATAATATAGAATTTTTAATATTAAATTGTACTCATGGATGTAAAATTTACACATACAACATTATACAAAAGGTGTTAGACACAAATATGTCTGAATCATACACCAAGGTGATTATGACTCATTATCATTGTAGTTGTTGTGATATTTCGTGCTCAATTAATCTTTCTTTAGCTAGATTTCCTCTCTTTGTTCTATTCTAAGCCATATTCACAATCTTACTTACTAATTCGTAATTTTTCTTTTTCACATCTTATCTGTATTGTCTCCTGTTAAGATATATGTCATACCTTGTAAATCTATTCCATTTTATGGTGTTTTCACTACTTTGTATATATATATAAGCGTTGGTATGTAGATCCCTTTTTTCCTCAGTAATCTCATATAAAGATGAATATTGGGCTTCAGAACTTGAAATCATAATCACAATGTTCACTGTTTATTCGTTAAGCTTAGGTTACTGTTTTATCACAATTCATAGTCATTATATCTTGCTGTTATTGCCTATTTCGCCTTCAGACAAAGAACTATATCATTTTGACCATCTGAGATAGCCGTAGTTTGGCAGACTAGTATTGATACTGGGCGATGATTGAAGGTGAAATGAAAATTTAGACCACGACTGGATTCTAACCAGCGACCACCGAGTTTCCGACCCAATGCTCTACCAATTCAGCTACGACGCCTGACTACTGACCAAATTTGTTTGTATTTTTATTCTTTTTCCACCTCCACAATTTTACTACCTGACCCAGACACTGATTTAAACTTAACCCGTCGAGAAATGTTAACCTTTTATTGACACTGTTTTGAGTTATGATTGGGTTGGGATAAAACGATTCCATTTTATTTCAATGGTATTCTGTCTACTGTTTGTAATATGTAATATTGAAATGTATAGTTTTACTGAAAATTTAACATAATTTGTTGATGAAGAGAGGAGAATATCGTTGAGTGATTAAGACTGAGAGAGAGTGAGGGAGGAAGGGAGGGAGGGAGGTAGATGTATGGAGTAAATCAAGGTTAATGATAACGGTGGATTCAAGTAGGGTTTATAAACGGTGATGAATATATATACGTAAACTAATGGAAGTCTGTGGAATAATGAAATGAGTATTGATGAAACTATTGATGGGATTGAAACTGTAATATTGAGTAAGTAGGTGGGTGATATGATAAAGAGGTGGTGGTAATATATTGTGAGTGAAGCTGATTTGATTTGAAGTTGGTATTGACTGTGGTTTGACATGAGTTTGAGGAATATTGGATATGTGTGAGTACTGGACGGATGTTTCGTGGTAGTATGGGACTACTCCTTAGCATTGGACACTGATGAGTGTTGTGTGAGGGGGGTTGGAACTCAGGAGGTTCATGTTTCGTGGTTAGTAGTAGTAGGTTAGGATTGAGTCAGTGGATTGGAATCCAATGGTCCATATTTCCACCTCATTTGGCTGAAAATATTTGATAGGGACGTCAGATGATGCAACTAAATTAGAGCAATCTTTTCAAATTCATATAGGGGAATTCGTATATGAAACTTACGGAATCCTTTCTATTCCACTTTTCGATTTGTCACGTCTAACAAAATGACAATATGACTATACAAACACATTATTATTTTATTATTTGTCCCTTGGGTTCCTAATGGAACATAGGACTTCAGTAGCACGTCTCCAGTGCACTCTCTTCTCTGCAAACTTTTGAACCTTATTCCACGGCAGCCCAGAAGCTTTCATTTCCTCCTCGCACCATCTCCGTGTCACCCTCGGACATCCAACTCGTCGCTTCCCATCTGGTTTCCACTCGATGGCCTGGCCTGCCGCACGATGTCCGCAGTCGGCCTTCTCAGTGTATGCCCAATCCATCTCCACTTCTGCATATTTATTGAGCGATAGGTTCTTGCTTCATTGGTTCGTTGCCAGAGTTCCTTGTTGCTTATTCTTTCTGGCCATCTCAACTGATCTTCAGTATCGAGTCAGCTTAGGCAGTTGTTGATGAATGTCTGTAGTTTTATGGAAACGCTTTCGTAGCGTGCCAAGTCTCTGAACCATACAGAAGCACTGACTTGACGTTGGTGTTGAAAATCTGGATCTTGTTCATGCTTTATGCTGAGTGCAGTGCAGAAGATCTCCACACTGGTTTCAGGCTAATGAACGCCTGTCTTGCTCTTCCGATTCTGACTTTGACATCCTCATCTGTCCCGCCTGTAGTTGAAACAGTGCTTCCTAGATAAGTGAAAGAGGTTACTTCCTTTAAGTTTCTCCCGTTGGTGATGACTGGAGTTTGTTATTGTTGTTGGTGCGGTATCTTCATCACCTCTGTCTTCTCTACGTTCGTCTGAAGTCAGTCCCGTCTTCCTTCTCTGCCTCTTCTATCAACTTGTTAGTTTTTGCCTGCAGATCTTCGAGTTTGTGTGACATTAGACATAAGTCATCGGCGAAATCTAAATATTCTAGGTTCTTTTCCGTGGTCAAGGCAGCGTATCCCTTTCTTTTCGCTCCTCACTGTTTGTTGCATGATCCAGTCGACTACAATCAGGAATATGATGGGTGATAGTAGGCAGCCTTGTTTTACTCCTGTATACAAACACAGGACACTTTTAATTTTAGTAATAATAGTTCATTTCATTTGAACTTACTTAATCCTTCATCGATGAACTATCATCCTATGGATGAGTAAAGTATGCAGATTGTATCTCCCTTTATATATCTTATAATTTTATAGCGTATATGCAGGTGAAAATAAGGCGACAAAATTCAATGAATTCATCATATTCTGCAAAATTTGTTGTTCTAGCTTTGCTAAAAAATTTTGAAGGCAACTAATTGCATGCAAACATTTTTTATGGTATAGCCCTGATTCTAACCCTCCTTCCTATGTTGATTTTCATTTTGCCTTCATTCGTCATCTATTATAAATTAAACTGAATGTTGAATAATATTACTACTCAGTTTATCATATGAGAGTTTGATGCTGGGTGATGATTGAAGGTGAAATGAAAATTTGGGCCGCGACTGGATTTGAACCAGCAACCACCGGGTTTCTGATCCGACGCTCTACCAACTCACTTACTAGGTCCAGAAGAACTATACCAGTAAAGATTATTAGTAGCCGTTATCTGCTTCATTGGCTCATCCATGATGATGAATTGGATGATCAGTTAGCAAATTATTTACAAATCTCACGGTTCACGTCAGGGTCCAGTTGTGGTGTTGACCGGGGTTTTTGACTAGGGAAATCTTGCAGATCATCAGGGAAGGTCACTAAGTACTTATACTGCTCAGTAGTATATATACGACTAGTTAATTTTTTCATGCTTTCCCTCCATGATAGTAACAATGGATGTAGATTTGAGAATGGGTAGTCTTATTAGAGTTTTCTATGAACAGAATATCTGTTTTACTAATGTGACAACACGATAGTGTTTTGTTATTTACACATTTATGTTGCTGTTATTGTCTTTTGCCAATTACTAAAGAAGTTAGGGTTGAAGTATTAACTCATCTTTGTTGGGGATCTACATAAGACCTGACTGAAGTAGTCTCGACACGGTTACAAAACTTTCGAATAAGTTTTGCCAAGTCTTGCTACTTGTAGTGCCAAAGTGATATCCTAGTGCATTCCTAAAGGTTGACTGTACTAAACAATAATTTGATCTATCTTACTTCTTTATGATTGTACGATGTAACCACTTAAGTTAGAGTTCATTAGAAATTTCCACGTATTCAATCACCGTTTCTTTCATAGCATGACATGTGTACAATGGGAACATCATCTATTAGAAATAAAGATTGAGCGTAGAGTACTAATTACATAAAAAGAGTTAGTTATTTCATGAAGTTGTGAGCCCTCGTCAACTGAGATGACTAAGACATATTGTACGCATACCTAGTCAGAGTCTCTCCTGATGCATTATGTCAATAATTGGGTTGAAAAAGCTGAGGGTGGTCGGACTAAGATATTTTACCCACCCATGAAGTTACTGACTGTTGGTCTGAGTCGTGTAAACGTATGTTGACTTCTAAATTGAGGTTTGTTTGCACAATAGACAACTATCGTACCTTACGTACCAAATGCTCTGGCGTTTGAAGCAAAGGGTAGCGGGTTCGAGCTCCCGTGGGGACAACATCACTCACTGTGATGCAGGTAAATCCAACTGACAAGTCCCAGATAGGACGAGACGCGCGTTCTGGATTCCTCTGCTAGTCAGTTAGATCAATATATATTTTCTATGGTTGCCTACTTTGATATCACCCCTTCTTCACTACCCACTTGTTTATGGCATGCTACAGTCCTTCTTCGTTCAGATTATTACTTTTTATTAATGTTATAGGGATCTTTAATTGTTGGAAATTTCGGCTATTCTTTATTTTGCACTACGAAATTCTCTGACTGTATATGTATATATATAATTGTATTTTTAAAAACATTCTCTTCAGATGGTTTCATCCGTCGCTAACACGATCTGAAGCTGAAGAGTTGATCCGTAATGAACCAGAAGGTAGTTTTCTTGTTCGTCCCAGTGAAACATGTCCAAATGACTTCTCGTTAACAATCAAGTAGGTGGATATTTTTGATTTATCATTTCCTTTGAGATTTGTTTATTTGATATATACTATACAGTGATACAGTATTATTTATTTATTGGATGTGGATGAACAGCAGAGAGAGGGAGAGAGAGTTACTGGAATTCAATGAACAGTGAACAAGTACTTCCACACACTCTCTCATTAGATATTTGTGTGTGTGTTTGATCACTCCGTTAAGATTTTACAATCAGCATTTGAAAACTTGAGCTGAATAAGTGTTTGGTGCAACTGACTTTATACATTCACCTGTTCTTTGTATATTATTATGAAGTATGTCAACTTGAACCGATGCATTTTGTGCGTGAGCTTCTATGGTGATTTTGTTTGTCTGTATTGATTAGTCACGAAACAGCAACCAACTTCATGTTATCTAGTCCTGAGTGTAAACCAACTCCTGTCCATCATATTTGCAGTGTGTCCACCAAGCTGGAAGGCTCACAGCATCAAGATGCATATTAGTGGGTATTAGTTGGTTGGAGACAATCGACAGGAAGCCCTGCTTAACCTAGGTTTCGTGTTTGTTGGCGCTCGTCAGCAAGTCGTATCTGCGACGTCAATGGAACTGATGTTCCTCCTGAGATTCGAACTCATGTCAGCCAGTATTGTGGTCAACGACTTTACCACTGAGCTATTCGGGCCGTGATTGGGTTGCATGTATTGAGTGGTCAGGAGACAGCAAGCAGTTTCATGTTGTCTGGTCCTGAGTGCAGATCGAATCTTACTGATCATCTTTTCAATGTTTGTCTGTCTGACGTTGTATGTTATTGGTGGATACTGTCGTGGGTGATCAGACTGACTTGATAAAAGAGCTTTCAGAAATATTACCTTTTTGAGTTGATTTAATAATGATAAAAGTATCGTCATTCAAATTGTTTTGTTGCCAAGTTTGACTAATTTTTAGTCATTGGTTATCAATTTCAGATAACTGCTTCATTCCTAAGCTCATATGTTTGATCAAATAAGTAAAGTGGAGGCTTTAGGCGTTCGATCACCGTCGCCTTCTTGGCACCGTGTGCGTACTGGAATCACCACATTAGTAATGAAGCGTTTAGGCCTAGAGTCTTAATTTACTTACCTGGGAAGTCAGCTCAGCTCTGATGCGTTGGTCAATGACCGACGAAATCTCTGCACAGATGCAGAAGGCTAGGTTGGCTTTCGTCAACTTACGTTAAAGTTAGAAGACATGAGAAGGCTTCAGATATTTAACCACCGCTGCTTTCACGGAATAGGTCGTATTTCGTGGTGTCACCACGTGAGTTACGCAGAAGTTAGGCGTAAAGTTGTAGGGAGTAGAGGTAAGTCGGTTGACACGGTTGTGAACCTTCATCAACTGAGATGGTTGGGACACGTATTACGTATGCCTAGTCGCCGTCTGCCTCATCACACAATGTTGTTCGAAGTAGGTCCAGGCTAAAGAAAGGCTCGAGGTGGCCAGACTAAAACATGGTATCAATGTATGAAGTGTTTGACTGTTGTTTTGAGCCATGTGGGGCGATGTAGACTAGCGGGTTGGAGTTCGGGGGACAAGAGAAACCAGTGGTTGGAAACTGACTCTAGTCGATAAGGCTCAGAACCGACGTCAGTGTCGCAGATGTATACATACATTATCCTCATCTTAACCTCTGTACTTAATCTCATCATCTTCCCATTCTTCCTCCTTCTCTTTTACTACTTTCTACTTTCTTTGACGGGTTTTTCTTTCCTTCTTCATCTTCCATTTTATTGACTTGTTACTTGACGTGCTGATATGAGGTGTGGCAACTTGGAGAGTTAGACAGTAATACTTGGTCCTATGTTAATCTTGATGGTGAGAGTCTTAAGTAAAAGAGGTAAGTTGGTAGATGGGGTTACAAACGTCCATCACAATCTACCCCGTTGGAAATTGTCACCTGAAGTTGGTTTAAAATACAGCTAGGTTGGAGGCGACCAAACTACAACATAACACCAGTCTATGAACTCACTGACTGTTGGCATCAGTTGTGTAAGCAGATGTAGACTTCTCAGTTGAAGTCCACTTGACAACTGAAATCCGTGTCTGTAGACTAGGTCATATGTATGTTTCAGGATCGATTGCAAATGCACCTATACATTATTTTCATCGTAATCGTTATACTGGATTCCACTATCATTTCATTCCTGTTTATTTTCTTTTCACAACTTTTACCACTTTTAATTACTTTCTTCCTCATTTTTCTATCTTTCATCTTGGATCCCTCTACTTTGTTGTAATGATATCAGATGTAGCAACTTGAACCACTGCAAAGTACTCCTAAGTCCGACATCGATGTTAATCGACTGACTATCTAACTAAAATTCTCACTACTAATTCCGTACACCTGATATAAATGCACCATATGTTAACTATAGTGACTAACCCTTATATAAGCGCATATGTGTGAATGATTTGTCTGGATTTAGTAAACTGTATCGATAATGTATCTATTAGAGCTTTGAACATTGTATCACTACAAAATTAAAAGTGCAAGTAGAATTCTTGTCGTTCCTGTTTGCTTCTGGATTCTATGTGTTACAATCCAACGCAATAGATAACGATACAACACTCCGAGACGATACGATTAACGATAGAACAATGACTTCTCAACTCGATATTCAGCTGACACCAGAAGACAATGGGATTGAAAATTTATTTACTCCAACCGAATAATGATAGGTGAAAACTCAGTCGCTATATATCCTTAGATAGCCTTGATCAGAAAAAACAAAATGGCATATTCAAAGTGTAAAATGGGCCAATGAGCGTTTAGTATCCTAAACTGCGGTAAAAATAAGCAACAGCTTGGCGCAAAAAGGGCTCGAAAACAAAGCTTAAACATAACAATGATAGGATAAACATATCATAAGTTATTAGTATTTATTGGCATACTTGCTATTTCTCTGTTGTTTTGTTGGATCGAATTGTTCGACCTCTATTGGCATATGGCATATTGGCATATATAGTAATAACTACTACCCGTTGTACAAGAAGCGGCTATCATTCCTCCTTGGTATAGTGGATGACGCCTCGGCGTTTGAAGCGATGGGTACGGGGTTCGAGTCTCAGTGGGGACAACATCACTGGGGTGCAGGTACATCCAGCTGACGAGTCCCAAAATAGGACGGAACGCGCGCCCTGCGTTCTTCTGCTAGCCACAACCAACCAAATTACACCATAAGTTAGTTACCTTAAGGATTGGCCACCCCTAACACTATGTTCTAATTGTTAGTACTAAGAGAATATATTGTCGATTGACCAATGAAAATACACTTCTGTTGGTTTTTGTGAATTATTATTATTTCAGGTTGGTTATTCATCATGGAACTGACATCAGTTGAAGGAATATTGGAAACCTGGGAAGTCAGTAAATCCCCACAAACCTCATAATTGAATTCATCTAGTGCTCGTTGCCTGACTAGAGGTGATTCCCGAAGTTCCTATGAGAAGTTGTGACCAATGGAGCCAACCAAGTCGAACATAAGGGCAGTTAATCAGTGACGGCATTGGGTCGTGCTCTAGTAACGTGCTGGCCGCAAAACCTGAAGGTCATAGGTTCGATCCCTGGTGTGGTGGGGTCATGGGTGCACACTGTTGAGAAGTCCCATACTAGGAAGAAACAGTTTTCCAGCGCTACCAGGTTTCCAGTGATTCCCCAACTGATGTCAGTCGATGATGAATACCAACCTGAAGTCAATAAATCCACACAAACGTAAAAATCATGTTATCATTGGTATTTTTTAAGCACTAACTTCTTACAGTATGGGCATTAAGAGATACACCATACAGAATAATATAATATAGCAACACCAAAAAGAGAAAAATGTGATAAAGAGAGAGTAAAAACGATGGGAAACAGAAACATAGTTTGGTTATGAGATAAGCGATCTTAAAGGAAAGGAATTCATCCTCTACTTTTCTTTCACTTTTCACTAGTAGAATGAAGAAAGAAATTGCTAGTTGGTTGTCAGTGGTTTCGATTTTGAGGCATGTCTGTTGTTGTCTCAACTGCTGAGTTACGAAATCTCTAGGACTCATCTAAGAAGTCGTTAATTACTAACACAACTATCCTCCATCGCATGGCGCTACGCCATAAACTGATCACCTCTCCATTCGTTTCTTCCATTCCTAGGGCGGCCGAACAGCTGCAGTATGGGAGACATTGAGATGACATACATAAAAAATATCAGTCACCGAAGACAGTGTTTCGAGATGGTCTCACTTAGTGATTGACGATCTCTATCATGCCTGAACACACCATCTCATCTCAGAATGACTTACATGATATTTTCAGAGGCTGCCAACAATCCCACGGAAATAAGAGTGATCGAACACGCATACTCGTTGAACATGCACAGTATAAGGAATGGTTAGACTTCATGGGCTTAGAACAGAAACGGCCACACGTATGCGTTGTATGCTCGACAACGACTCAAAAGGTAGTCTTAATTGATTTGTGCCACTCTGACTTTTGATATACGGTTGGAGTTCTTGCCAGTCGCATCTCCACAAGCACTCACACAACTAACCAGGTACACAAATGTATTGATAACTTATAATGGTCTACTATCAAGGGAGGGTGCAGTCATACAGAATCCTGTCAGTTTTACAAAATCACTTCGACTTTGCAAAGGACTTACCTTACTTGAAGACACCAATCGCTAACTGATGAGTTGCACTTTGAGCAACCTTCATATTTTCAGATGAACTAGAATATTTCCCAACTGATGTCAGATGTAATTGCTACCCTCATATCACTCATGCATTCTGACTATCTAGCGTCTTAGTCCTTACACAAGTGCTGCCTAATCTATAGCTGTCTATCGGAACGGATCGAAGAGTTTCAAAAAGTTGCACGAAGTCCTCAGAGACCTAGCATTTATCAGGGGAGATTTCTTGAAAGCCACAAGCATGTTTATTTGACATTTTCATGGTGTCTTTTAAATGCAGCCAATGTTCATCCATACTTTCTAGAGATTTGACAGCTAACCCTAAATCTAACTCTGTTTGGTGTTATTTATTTGCAGTACTAGGTGAAATCAACTAGCTCATACTGATCTGGTTAGGAGTACGATTTTGATGACCATTAAAACGTCAGATGAATTTGGCACACAGCATGGTCAGATTCCAGAAAAGGTGCTCTAACAAGGATATCAGTCTTAAATATACCCACGTCATCGATAGCTGATTTCAATACGATTTTTTTGAACATAGAGTTAAGCGTCAGAACACGGATGCCAGCTAGCATAACAGTAATGGGTTTTCTATAAGTTGGTGCTTCCTAGAAGTATGATTTGATTTATCCAAAGCTGCGGAAGATATCTTCCATTGGTCGTTGAAATAACCCTCCTTTGAGGATAGATGCCTTACCTGTGCATTCGATTCCCCAGCTAGCACTACACTAGACAAGGTTACTTAGTTGATTGTATAACTTATCCTTAACTATATTCGGACTGTAGTCAGATGGGGGATAGGTAGAGATAAAGAAAAGACACCGTTTTTCTTGCCAGTTCCTTTACTCTAACCTTTTAACTTCACGTCACACAAACGACTATTGATGGAGATGCAGTCGACCAGTGCAGTTTCGGCTCTGGCATTTAGTGTGACACCAAGACCAGCTGTTGATGCCGCAGGGTCTCCGATTAAGTTTTGGGGTAAGATCTTGTATGTTGATATCCGATATGCGATGTGCATTGACGGTGAAACGTTCCAGAGTCCTAGTCAGATCTGTCTGTTGCCGGATCTGCATCAATGTTTGAATGATGAAGGAAGCCAGTTTACTTGCATCAGGTATTGTTCTCTAGAATAGCTTTCTGAAAACAGTTGTTTAACGACTTAAGACAGTGAAACAATGATACAAACACTCCATGAGCTTTTAATATGAAATCTGATGCACAAGGTAGCAGAGGAATGTAAACTGCTGCATTTCCACGGTTGCTGGTGACCCCAGGATAAGTTTATATGTCTGCCATTCATCCATTCTAGATCATAGATGACCATATTCATCACTTGTTTTAGAACTAAGGTTTTTCAAAAATATCACCCTAACCAACTAATTTATTTTTATTTTCTTTTAGACATAAATCTTTTTTACATATGAAAATATCAAGAAATAGTGCTGGCCAGTTTATTCTAGGTGAATACAGTCAACCGTATACAAGTGTATCACAAATGATTTATCATTATGCACGAACACTTGTCCCAGTACTCGGTGCCTATTCAGTTACATTGACTCATCCTGTATTTAAAAGAACTTAATCTATTCAATTGTTTGTGCTTCGACTGCTTCATGACTTATGCTTTTCTGCTGTTATTCTTACTGTCGACATTGTCTATTGTTATCAATCAATTATAACCTCATTTTATTGGATGCATAGTTAATATTTTTGCCTTTTAATGATAATGTCAAGTTCTTTCTTCTTCATTGCCATTCTTTTGTTGGTTTTTGGTTCAATTATTTATGACTTTTATTTTACTTTATTAGACGACATTTTCTTTATTTGTTTCTCCTTCAATTAGTTAGCGCCTATAAAAATAATGGGATTATTGGGAGAATTTTTTAAAAATTTTACTGTTAGTCAATAATGGTGTTTAGAGTAGATAGATACCTTTACCCGTGTATCCTTCTTCACCACTTGCCTATAATTACTTTTTGTCTTTCCTTCTAGTGAATAGTTCAACTAGACTTTATTTATTTATTTCTTCACATTTCAACTTATTCCACCTTTGTCTATGTTTCCCCTCTTTGGTATGATGTGTAACTCATCTGCTTGACTCTGGAATAATCATAATAATTACGAGTTTCTTTCTTATTTTCTTTCCATGTTTATTTGTAATACATTTATGCCAGTCAACGATCTTTAGCTTCATCTTCTTCTGTATTCAATTTCGCTGTTCATCACCTCTGTTTATTTTTACCATATATGTTGTATACACAGTGTAAATTGTATTTAAAATTCTTTTTTGTTGTTGTTGTTTATATCGATGAATTTCATATTACGCGATATCATCATCATTATCGTCGTCGTTGTTGAGTACTACGACTACCAAGCTGTATGACATTTTCCTATTTTTGTTATATCTTCTTTGATTCTAAAGCAAACAAAACAACAATCAGTCTATGTGTATACATTAAGCAAACTTTATAACTGGCTTATTCAGTCATTCATTTCTGACATAAATTTGGCTTTAATACATCGATTTCTATGCGCTATATATGTATGAGGAAGTAGCTGGTCAAGAGTGACGGTTATGACTTTCCGACCGGTATCATATTCAAAGTCTTCTGTTTCGCTTCTTTGTCTACATCTTCTTTTGTGTTTCATCGCTGTGTGTGTGTGTGTGTGTTTGTGATGAAAAGATGATGGGTCTACTATTGTTCCCATGGAACATTTCATGCTATTTTATAGAATTCAACTCTAATTTATCAGAAGTTATCGTTGATGCTTATTATTTATCTATGCTATCTACCTGTCTCTCTATCAATATACATTTAGATAGCTATGTGTATAATTGATGGTTTATTCTCACTATGACTATCGTTATTAATGATTACTGTTGCTATATTATTCGTCATCACTATTAACTAACTATATCAGATTTTGCTAAGAGGTGAAAAGATCAGTTAGTCCCAATGGGGATCGTTCTGTTCATTATAGCAAGAAGGAAAGTTATTGCGTTCTGTTTTCTTTCTTTTCTATTCAATAAATATTGATTACTCTTTGGATTGTGTGTGTGTTCTTATCTCTTTATCCTAGAAGAAATAGTAATTGTAAATGTGTTTAAGGAATCAGAAACTTTGAACGTGACTATGAACGGTAAATTGTGTTGAAAACGTCATCCAGTAAGTAGGGCTGTTTCACTGTGTGCTGAAATATTCAACAAACAAATTTTATACTAACATAGGTGCCCATATTCTGTTAGAATAACAGAAGATAAAAACTAGGATGAATGTTGAACGTTAGACTTTAGTAGGATAAGAGATGTAGCGAAAAGCTCATTAATTGCGATGCATTAGACCATACACAACCACACAATAGGAAGGGACAAACAAAATGATACCCCTTAAAATTAACTTATCAGTATGGAGGGAGAAATTGAAAACTGAAACTTTGTTTATCGAAACAACATAAAACACATACAATAGGAATGACTCAACATTTTATCCCTACAACAAATGCAGGAGGTGAAATCGAACTATATAAGCAGAACATGAAGGATGCGATGTTATCTTTGTTATGAATATGGTCAATAAATTCTTTTCAACACGTCATCCAGTAAGTTATACTTTTTTAATATGTAAAGTTTTCAATAAACAAATTGAACTGGAATTATGAACTAACACAGTGTTCATAATGTTCTACTCTTAAATAAAAAAATAACGAAAGTTAGGTATTTAATCTTAGAAGAAAAGTTTTCAAGAATTCCAACGAAATTCGTTATTTACTTGTAATCGATATATGATTATAATTAACCCTCGATGGCATATTTCGACTACTCTGTACATTATATGTATTCATATAAATACACAACAAAACATGACGTAATCACTGATTTTGTGTTGAAATTTATGTAGAACAAAGAGTTTTACTGTCTTCAGGATGTTAAGTTTGTTTGCATATTTCGCTTCTTGATAACTGAATTAACCGTTCGCTGTAAAATCGTATCGTTCGACTCCACCTGTATACGTCGTTTTCAGGGAACGGTTACTGAATAGATTGGACCTCAATTTGTATTAGTTATTCACTAATTTTTTGGTCACGATATCGATTTCGTTTTCCATCAGTATTTTACCGAAATTTATTTGTAATGGACTGGACAGAAGTTTTAGAATTTTGGGTACTGTCCTGCTTTCTGTAAACGGACTTTCTTATTGATCCACTTTCCCTTCAGGTCAGCAGTATATCTATAAAAGGTAGGTAATTGTTGTTTTTTACTTCACACAATACAGCTCTGTATAGTGTTAAGTCAAATTCACAATAGAGTAATAGTATAGCAACAGACATTTACTCCTAGATCTTTTGATCAGTTAAAACAACGCAAGGACATCAATAAACTGGGTGTTTAACTAAAGGTATAGTTAACTTGGCGGCCAACGGTGGAATCCAGGATGTTTCGTCCTTTCTGGGACGCGTCAGCTGGATGTAACTGCCCACAACGGGAGATTACAAGTATCAAGAAGAAACAATTGATATCCATTGCACAAGAGGTGGCTTTCGTTGCCTCATCGGCCTAGTGGATAACGTTCTGGCATTTTAGGCGGTGGGTACTGGGATCAAGTCTCAGCGGGAACATCACTATTCACTAGGGTGTAGGTGTGTCCACCTGACGAGTCCCAAGTAAAGTGGAACGCACGTTGTGAATTCCGTCACCGGTCACTAGTTAGACTGTGACGCGATGAATTTTCACGCGATATCCGGGCATCCGTGTAGGAGCTCATCTGCTAACAGACACTGATTAATTCGACCGCGTGGAGAGGTGAAGAAAACTGCTTGACGACTGTCCTTAGGGAGGATGATTACCCATGTGACTTCATTACAATATATTTATCCAACTCATCACCAAGGCTCTCTTCCAAAATCAATAAACGAATTGTTTTCCTCTATATAACATGTATTAGATGGGAACAAGATGAATATGGTCATTTGAAATTGACGTTACCTATAAATCCACACATTTCCTCCAGGTTATGTAATTCCGACAAAAGGACCCAATGTGTTATTGCTTGTGTTATACCGTCGTTGGTTGGACCGAATTGATCGGTCTCTATTGGCATATGGGCTTCTGAGCGGATGCCTCGATATTGCCTGTGTTCTTAATTATATAGTAGTGATGGATAGTGACTAGCAGTAGAATCTAAAAAGATAAAATGCGCATCCTGGATTCCACTGCTAGTCACTATCCATCACTGCTATACAATTAAGAACACTGGTAATATCGAGGCATCCACTCAGAAGACTATATACCAATAAAGACTGATCAATTCGGCCCAATCAACGATGGTGTAATACAAGCAATAACACTAAAACTATACCCGTCGCACAAGAAGTGGCTATCGTGACTCGGTGGTGTAGTGGTTAACGCTCTGGCGCCTGAAACAATCTCTCCCTAGTCTGGATGCTGGTGGGAACAGCATCACTCACTGGGAAGCAGGTACATCCAGCTGGCGAGTCCCAAATAGGACGAAATGCGCATCCTGGATTCCACTGCTTGCTACTATCCATCATTACCATAAAAAAGGACCTAATAGCTAGAGAAAACAAGCCATTTAGATTGATAAATACAGTAGGATGGAATATCATCATTCACATATTCTGTCATTTCACAGGAGTGTATAGGCTTAGTGTTTTCAGTAATTCCAACCTTGGCTGAATCGTATCTTTTCAGAAATGTCATACATTTAGTTCCCTTGACAAACTTGAGCAATGCAAGAATAACAACGTTTGCAGAATAAAATGAGCGCATTTTATTTCGTGACCTTTCATCAACTGCAAACAGCCTACAATTGAGATGAAGTATTAGCAGAAGAAGAATTCAGGATAATTGAGAAGGCTCTTATTGAGAATGTATATCCGAAGAAATTCATCATAAAGCATGGAAAATAATTTATTGAGGGATAAAACCATCCAACTGTTGAAAAGAAGCCTGTTCTCCACCTAGCATTCAAAAGTGATGAGACATTTGAAAGAATAGACAGAAGAATAAAAGCTGCACTGAGAAGGAGGTTCCCTACTGTCAGACTGATCTCAGTCTACAATACATTGTGCTCAGAAACACAGTCGAAAGTAGACAGATACCCAGCTCAAGTCACCCTTAACTGTGTATATCAATTCACCTAGGCTTTTGGAACCAACTGCATAGGACGGACTGAAAGAAGGGCATCTACTCGATTTCATGAACATATTCCGAGAAATCTATGTCTGAATGGTAGAAAGGTCTTTAAAAGCGCAATCGCCAAGCATTCAACGGAAACAGGACATCAAATGGATGTTTCTCAATCTTTCAGGATAATCAACAAGCAAAAACACCATGTTTATTACTTTTTGCGGAAGCTCTCGCTATCAAACATCTTTAAACTGACCTATGTACTCAGAAAGAGACTGCAATTAACCTTTCTTTGTATAGGATGTATTTTTACTTGTATAATCCCAGCGTAGTATATTAGAACAAATAACAAAATAAACAAATATTTTGTATTATTCCTCAACGTTTCGATCTTGCTAGGAAGATCCTTTTCAAGAGTATGAATCTGACACTAA